CTCTTGTTTTTGTTATGTAAATATCCATTTGTTTGACGGTGCTAAAATTAGATCATTTATTGTTGTGATATTTCGCTTTTTTAAAAAAGCACTGGAAATAAAGAAAAAGTTTGTTTATTTATTTGATATATGAGTAAAATGATGTGTGTCTTAATCCGTAGTTCTCAATGGGAATTCACTTTTTTTTCTCCCTTTAGTCTCCCTTTAGTCCTTTTTTAGTATGTCTTACCTATAAACATAACTGTCGGACATTTTCGTTCTTTTAGATTAAAAAATAATGTCAATTAAAATATTTATATCAGGAGATGCCAACAAATTTGACTTTCATTTGGATGAATCGAATACCGTCGATGATCTCTACAGTTTAGTCAATAATCTGTTTGGAGACGATACATTTATTATTGAAGAAAATGGCCGTCCGATTTGTGGCAATGAGAATGAATATCTGCGAACAAATTTTACGTACAAAGTTTGGCCGAAAGTTTTAGGTGGAAAGGTACGTGTGAAGAGTAAACTAGATATGCGGACAAATTAACTACATCTATTTCTGTTAAGGGTGGATTTGGATCGCTATTGCGTTCTTTTGGTAAACAAATTCTAATATCAAAGAATAAAGAAGCCTGTCGAGATTTGAATGGTCGTCGAATGAGAGATGTTAACAACGAACAAAAACTAAAGGTAAATATCTTAATTATTTATTATCCAATAGTCATTTTCTTCTTCTCTTCACTAGGAATGGATGCAAAAAGAATTAGAAAAGTCGGTATCTTTGAGTGATAACAATTCATCGGAGAAGAAATCAAAAAATGTTGAAGAGAAAGATTACCGTAATGTTCCTCCGCCACATAAGTTTTCGGATGCAAAATATGATGAACAAAAACGTCAAATTGCTGATGATGTTGATGAGGCAATTCAAGTAGCAGCACAATTTGTTAAATCAACATCCTCAACAAATAAGAAATCATCTTCAGCCATCAGTATAAAAGACGATGTTACTACTAAAAAACAAAACAAGAAACGACAACGTTCAGACGAAGCAGATGATGATGATGATGTGGAGGAGTTGGAAGAAGGTGAAATTAAAAAGAAAAAGGCCAGGACAACAGATGTATGGCTGGGAATTGATGTGGGTGATGTATCAAGTGATGATGAAGAAGTAGAGATCGAAGTCAATAAGAAAAAAAAACTTCCATTAAATCTTTGAACTAAGTTTTATTTACGGTTTTGTTAAGTGTAAATACAAATCTATCAAATATACAGACTGTACGGATAGTTTGGTGTATTTCTTCTCATAGCAGAAGGCTACATTTAAGCTTGACTGTGTTTACTGTTCCTGTAGCAGGATTGTAAAGTTTTTAGTTTGACATATGTCCAGCGAATTAAAGCCAATAAAATCTTACTTTAGTGTGTGCGAAAGTATTATTTTAGCGTCTGAGTGTGACCTAAGTGACTGTGAAAAATGTTTAAAGTACGTAAAATATAATATTGATGCTGTCAGAGTATCGTGGTGCGATAAAGAAAACTGTTAGCATAAAATAATTTGGAACCTCATTTACACTATGATAAAATAAGATTGAATGCTGTCAAAATGTGATGAAAAGGTGAATTGTTTATTGGAGACTAATGACCGATCCCTGATCATATCTGTTGTACGTATAATATCGTGAATTCTATGTTGTTAAGTGGATTTAAATTAAAATATATCTAATCTAAACAACATTTTCCAAAATTATTACAATATGAACAAAACAATACAAACAATGTTTCTATTCTAAGACTGCTGATTAACAATTTCTTGATTAATTCACCCAACGATTAATCAGTTGTCGTTTTTATCATTTAAAAGAGAAGATTTAATAGCGGATATGTATTTTTTTGATCACCAAGGAAGAAATGTTTTTTGAGCACCAAAAAATCAAATCAAATTGTAGTCATTGTAACAAGCCTGAAACAGCTGAGCACTACTTTTTAAAATGCCTTCGATTTGTCCAGGAAAGATCTATATTGTTGAATAATATAAAATCGATTACCGCAACTACTGGACTCATTCTAAAAGGGTCAATTAATCTTACCCCAGAACAAAACATCCTTATCGTAAATAATGATCACAAATACATCGTTGACACTAAAATATTCACTTAACATTCGCAACCATTATTCGTCGATGATTTGCTGTACGCAGCACCTTCGTACCTAAATGAAAGCAAGTATTGTAATTTTAATGACACTCTAAGTTAGTTTGGTTTTCTTACCAATAGGGTAATTTTGTGACCCATTGATCAACAAAGTAATCGGAAAGGTTCTTCATCAATGGATTTGCACTCCATTTTTGTATTAATAAGGTAATAATTAATTATAACATTTGGCATCCTCATCATGAGAAACTTTAAACCAAATGGTTTAAAATGACGATTGGCATCCGTTGAGCCGAACACTAGCATAGGTAATTCATTCCATGTGATTTTATGTTGCATCAACTTGTAAATATATTGTTAATCGAATTTGTTGGAATAATTGTTTTGGTAAAGAATACGAACGTATTATTTATATCATCCACAGTATAAAAAGGCACAAATGTTGAATGTATCTGCTTACCTTCATTATGTTCGTTACACCAGTTTCGTAAATCAAACACTGAAAATATTTCTGGCCTGTTCTTTCGTCGTTCATAATTCACTAAACTTCTTAATTTTGTTTCTGTTAAAGGAGTACTTGGATAATCTTGCACTAATGATGATTTAATTTGAGTATGGGATATGCCACATTTAATGTATTTCGATACCGATTTACGAACTGGTGACAGTAAACGTGTGGTTGTATTACATTCCTCTCCTTTATGTTCATGTACACCTCTTGACATAACTGTCGCTTGTACATCGTTATCTGGTACGACTATCTGAATTTCACAAAAGCATAATGGATATTTTCTGTACTCACCGCATTTGAACGAATATTTCGTATGATTCTTCAAATCTGATCGACGACATTGGCATGCGTTGTATGGTGATTTGGATAATTCTTTCGCTTCTTCATAAGATTGGACTGTGTACAAAACGTTCCAAGTTTGCTTCGACATTGTTTCAATGATGTCATGTACAGGTTAGGGTAGTTATTTATAACTAATTTTTTACAACCAATTTTTGGTGATCAAAACACACTTTCCTCTTTAATAGCATCTTTTCTCAACAGAAAATATTTCAAATGTTTTTCGAAATTAGGTTTTCTAGGAATAAACAATATTTGTGAGAAGCAACTATAATTGTCAAATAAAATAACTCAGATCAGATAGGTGCCTTATCTGTTGCAGACGTTGGCTAACATGATACGCCAATTTTTCCGGTCTTGTGCTGCGTGAAGGAAGTCCGTTTTCTCACATCCTTGTTTTGCAATCCAGAGGTTCATGCTTTCGAGGTACTTGATTCTTGGTCGGCCTTTGTCTTTCCTCCCATTGATT